GCTCCAGGCGGACATCAACCAAATCTTTCAGTGGGCTGCAAAAAACAATATGAAGTTCAACGATGAGAAATTTCAATTACTCAGATATGGTAAACATGAGGAAATTAAATCTTCATCTGAGTACAAAACAAATTCTGGCCACGAAATAGAGCGAAACACCAACGTCAAAGACCTGGGAGTGATTATGTCGGAGGATCTCACCTTCAAGGACCATAACATTGTATCAATCGCATCTGCTAGAAAAATGACAGGATGGATAATGAGAACCTTCAAAACTAGGGAGGCCAAGCCCATGATGACACTCTTCAGGTCACTTGTTCTATCTAGGCTGGAATATTGCTGCACTCTAACAGCACCTTTCAAGGCAGGTGAAATTGCCGACCTAGAAAATGTACAGAGAACTTTCACGGCGCGCATAACGGAGATAAAACACCTCAATTACTGGGAGCGCTTGAGGTTTCTAAACCTGTATTCCCTGGAACGCAGGAGGGAGAGATACATGATTATATACACCTGGAAAATCCTAGAGGGACTAGTACCGAACTTGCACACGAAAATCACTCACTACGAAAGCAAAAGACTTGGCAGACGATGCACCATCCCCCCAATGAAAAGCAGGGGTGTCACTAGCACGTTAAGAGACCATACAATAAGTGTCAGGGGCCCGAGACTGTTCAACTGCCTCCCATTGTTTTAACCCCTTGACTGTCGCAACCACTAGTCCTGAGGTGTCTCCTGGTGTCGCAAAATTAAAAAAAAAAATTATTTTTTTCTTATGAAATGATAGAGAATCTTTTCCCAATTGTAATGACACCAAAAAAACGAAATTTGATGGAAAACTTTTGGAATTACGCTCTCGCGAAGTTAGCGACCTCGGCGATATTTACAAATCGGCGATTTCGCCCACTTTCAGCCCTATTTTCGGCTAATTCCACTGTTCCAGTCGACCTAACTCACAGCTATTTCTTTAGAACTCCATTTTTTCTATTGACCGAGTACAAGAAACTGCCCATTTACCGATTTCAACTACCCAATAACGTGGTCAGAAACTTGCAATTTGGCCAATTTCACAAAAATTAAAAAATATGACAATTTCAAAATAAGGTCCAGAATGAACAATGCAGACATTCCTGGCTCTAAAAATAACATTTTCTTTGTTCATCAGTCACATCTCCAGGCCCCTCTGATATTACTCTTGGTTTCTATTCTGAATTTTTATTCAAACAAAAAATATTAGATTTACTGTTATGCAGACTACTGCAATACTGTAATAATTGTGCAAATAATGTCAATCCATTCATGACTGCATATTAGAATGGCTAGTTGGACATTTATTGGACAATGACATCATTTGTTTACTTTTGAACATCTGCAAAAATCAAACATTTCCCCTAATTTGAGCTCCATTTCCAGGTTCTTTTTAGAGTAAAACCAATCAAAATCACCTCTATTTCTATAATATGTTTTCCATTCTATCAAATGAGACCAAGAAAACGAGAATACAACCATAAATACTATACGAAAATAGACCACAAAGTCGCCATTTAAAAAAAAAAAAAAAAAAAAAGAAAAAAAAAAAATCGGAGTTCTTTTTTCTCATTATGCACTGCATGCTCCAGGTTTTTTATATATGCTGCATACTGACCACACAAACCCATTCTCTCACATGTGGGCCTACCAGCTTTCTCCTGCTTGATTTGAAGCCGCTGGAATTTATGAGTATATATATACGTCAAACATGGTACCTCGTAAGACATATATATACGACCGAAACAGTCAAAGGGTTAAATAGTAGTAGATTGTAATACAGTACATCATAATGTAAAGTGTTCCACTGTAATGCCAAATTTCATTGTTTTAAATAGTACTAAACTGGAATACAACATACTGTAAATTGTTTTAAATTGTTACATTGTAATACTGTAATCTTTATTAACTAATTAACCTGTAAACGGTCCAAACGTATATATACGTTTTTTCTACATTTGAAAGTATGTAAAAAAAGTAGATCTTTTTGTTTTTTTACATTTGAAAATGTGTAAAAAACTTTGATCTACTTTTTTTTTTGTTATATTTGAAAATATGTAAAAAAAAAAATGTAGATCTACTTTTGTAGCACTACACACGTGAACGTAGATCTGCTTGGACCGTTTACGGGTTAAATAGTGTAACAAGTCTCTACCATGTAGCATTACCCGATAGAATATTCAATTCTCCTGTACTCACTAACTCATCTAATGACCATAAGAACTATGTATTATTACCTTTCTAATCTTAAGTTAACCTTCAAGTTTGCCCAAAATTCTCTGCATATGAAGGGGCTTTTGGTATGTACACCCAACTATTATATTCCTCTGTACAGCCATGCGATTTGTCAAAATACACAAAAAATCTTAAGACCTTGCATTAGCAAATGAAGTACATATAGCTTCTTGCTTCTGTGTGCTAATGCAACAGGTGATGTCAAGTTCAAGTCTAGATTTACTGTGCAGACTTCAAGGAGGCCAAAACAAAAACCACTTTGCCCGTTCTTTGTCAGTCTAACAAGGTAACGTGAATGATTGCGGCTTTTTGTCTAGTGGTTCCAGCATCGCTTAATTCCTGCAGTCAATATGTACTAAAAAAAAAAGTGTACAAAGTTCTCCTGATTCTTCACAATCCCTATAGCCATCCTGAAATCTAACTATCTCTGCATCCAAATCAATGGGTTGTGATTTTACCACTGAAAATATCTGACAACCACTGAATAAAGGAATTACCAAGACATTTAAGTGCCATTACACACAAGGTCATGGAAAAATTTCTCACAGCAATGGATGAGAGCAAAGACACTGGGGTGTCAGAGTTCTTTCATATTTTTAACATTGCTGATGCACTAGCACAAGTGTCATGGGACAAAATGCCTATTTTTATAAATTTCCCAGTTTAACCCTCAAACCACAGCAGACCTTCATAAAAAAAAAATATATATATATATGCTGGAGGTTTGAAGTATCTTGAAAGTGTTCATTTTCTGAACACTTATTTTCTTAGGTAATTAGGAATATTTAAAAAAAATCATTTTTGTTTTCAATGTTTTAACCCTTTGACTGTTTTGGTCGTATATATACGCCTTACGAGCCACTGTTTTTGACGTATACTGTGTATACTCCTAAATTCTAGCGGCTTCAAATCAAGCAGGAGAAAGCTGGTAGGCCCACATGTGAGAGAATGGGTCTGTGTGCTCAGTGTGCACCACATATAAAAAAAATCCTGCAGCACACAGTGCATAATGAGAAAAAAAAACTACGACCGTTTTTTTAATTAAAAGGCCGACTTTGTGGTCTATTTTCGTATAGTATTTATGGTTGTACTCTCATTTTCTTTGTCTCATTTCATAGAATGGAAAACATATTATAGAAGTAGAGGCGATTTTGACTGGTTTTACTATAAAAAAAACCTTGAAATGGAGCTCAAAGTAGGGGAAATGTTTGATTTTTGCCGATGTTCAAAAGTAAACAAATGATGTCATTTTCCAATAAATGTCCAAGTAGCCATTCTAATATGCAGTCATGAATGGGTTGGCATTATTTATACAATTATTACAATATTGCAGTACAGTAGTCTGCATAACAGTAAATCTTCCATTTTTTGTTTGAATAAAAATTCAAAATAGAAAGCAAGAGTAACATCAGAAGGGCCTGGAGACATGACTGATGAACAAAGAAAATGTTATTTTAGAGCCAGGAATGTGTGCAGTGTTCATTCTGGACCCTATTTTGAAATAGTCATATTTTTAATTTTCGTGAAATTGGCTAAACTGCAAATTTCTGACCATGTTACTAGGTAGTTTAAATCGGTAAATGGGCAATTTCTTGTACTCAACAGAAAAAAAATGGAGGTCTAAAGAAATAGCTATGAGTTTGGTCGACTGGAACAATGGAATTAGCCGAAAATAGGGCTGAAAGTAGGCAAAACCACCGATTCGTAAATATCGCCAAGGTTGCTAATTTTGCAGGAGCGTAATTCCATCAGTTTTCCATCAAATTCCATTCTTTCAGTGTCTTTACAATCGGGAAAAGATTATCTATCATTTCATTAGAATAATTTTTTTTTTTTTTTTTAAATTTTGCGACACCAGGAGACACCTCAGGATTTGGGGTTGCAACAGTGAAGGGGTTAAATGATAAATATATGGTTTTCTATACCATGTTGTCTAGTAAACAGAGAAACATGGCACAATTTACAAAAAATCAGTTATCACCACAAGTTATTCACTTAACAAAAACTCTTTATATCTAGTGATTGTTCATATAATCTAACACTATTATTATATTAAAAATATTTCCATGTACGATATTGCTCAAAACATTAAGATAGGCAGAATGGCACATCACTCACTTTACAATAATATCTTTTATCAACTCTTCTGTGCTCTTCTTTTCTGTAGAAGGAATATTTAGGGAAAGTGGCCACCATGCTTTAGCTGAAGTGGATCACTTTCATCATTATACATGTATCAAAGAACTGGTGGTGTGGCTCCCAGGTATATTTCTGTCTGTCTTATGAGAGAAATGAAACTCACTGAATTCTGGCTTCCTCCCAGTTTTCACTTGGAACAAATTGTAAGCATTTAGCATTGCCACATCTACAAAACTGAGAAAATTTCACATACCACCTGAAATTCTTTTTGACACAATTGGCTGACCCAATTTCCACGTTCGATTTATCAACCAAATGTGTGTTTATGTAATTAATAATGGCAAGAGATTTTTCCAATAGGTTCTTCTGCACGTTTGTCCACTTTTCCAGTTGTCTCACTTCATATCTGTGTATGGTTGTCAACACTTACATCCCACTTATTATGCCATCAACATGCCATTATGTCACTGGCATGAAATACTTGCCTTACATTACATACTTCTGGAGCCCAGCCTATAGCCAGGCTCCAGGAGTAGAAAATTCCTAAGATTTCTATGATTTTTAAACTCGGTTTCAAACGTAAATAATTAAAAACTTACTTTTGTTGCTTCATCTGGTTCAGCACAACAAGCAACTGCCTCCTCATTTGTTAGGCATGTCGATTTCTCAGCCATGGTACTGTATATACAGTATTTTGTAATCCAGTAAACAGCTTTAAGCCTGAAACAATAAAAAGCTTCCACATAATAGAGTAAGTGAAAAATTACAATTAACCCCAGATGAAAAAAACTAACAGCAGCTATTTCCTCCCAAGCCATGGCTACCAAACAAAGGAAATTCTCACCAATATTAATTCTCTCACTGAATCTCCGAAAGTGAATTATTGTCACAATTTTGATAACCCTCCAAACTGCAGCATCTCCACCTTCCAAATTTGTAACCCAAAATGGAAACATGCAATAAAAAGTTAAAAAGTGTACAATTCACACAAAGTATAAAAAAATGCCTTGAAGAGCACTGCATACTTCAAACCACATGAAATGCAGCATAAAATACTAACTGTGGGCATCTACTGGATCTGTATTATATAAAATTTTACTTTTTATTGTGCTCACTTCATTTCTTTATTATTTAACATTCTACAATTTGAGAATTTGTAATATGAAAATTTCTTTATTATTGTACATTCTACAATTTAAGAATTTGTACTACCTCAGATTACTTATTATTACTAGCCAACTAATACTGTATTGTAAGTTACAACATGTGTCTATGAAAGATGAGGTGAATCACAGAACTGACGAGGGGAAAAAGGCGAGTGGTGAACTGAGGAGTCTATGGAGACAAAGAACTTTATCCATGAAAGCAAAGAGGGGAATGTATGAGAGTAGTTATACCAATGCTCTTGTATGGGTGCAAGGCATGGTTTGTGAATGTTGCAACAAGAAGGCTGGAAGCAGTGGAAATGTCATGTCTGAGCACAATGTGTTGTGTGAATAAAATGCAGAAACTCCATAGTTTGGAGATTAAGAGGAGGTGTGGGATTACCAAAACTATTATTCAGAGGGTTGAGGAGGGGTTATTGAGATGGTTTGGACATGTAGAGGATGGAACAAAACAGAATGACTTCAAGAGTGTATAAATCTGTAGTGGAGGGAAGGCAGGGTAGGGGTCAGCCTAGGAAGGTTGGAGGGAGGGGGTAAGGGAGGTTTTGTGCGCGAGGAGCTTGGACTTCCAGCAAGCGTGCGTGAGCTCGTTAGATAGGAGCAAATGGAGACAAATGGTTTTTAGAACTTGACGTGCTGTTGGAGTGCAAGCGGGTAACATTTATGGAGGAATTCAGGGAAACCAGCAGGCCGGACTTGATTCCTGGAGATGGGAAGTAGCCGGCACTCTGAAGGAGGGGTGTTAGTGTTGCAGTTTTATAACTGTAGTGCAAGCATGCCTCTGGCAGAACAGTGATGGAGTGAGTGATTCGAGTTTTTCCTTTTCGGGCCACCCTGCCTTGGTGGGAAACAGCTGACGTGTTAATAAAAAAATAAAATATAAACCCATGACCAGACATTGGGTGGCAGGATCACCATCCCTGGCACTGTACCTTAAGGGATTATCTTTCACAACTTTATTAATACAATATAATGTGTGTTTGCCCTCAACAGTAATTTATCATTCAATATATATTATGCTAGGTTAGGTTACAGTGGGCATGGTTGGACAGAACTGGTTTTCTTACATTTCCACAGACAAAAATTATCTCAGTTGCACAACCACAAATTTCAGACAATTTTTCTCAAAAAAAAAAAAAAAAAAAAAAAGTCAACACGGGACCCAGGAATAAAGTAAATAACAATGACAACCTCAGTTTCATAGATCATGAGCCTTACACCAGCATCAAAGAATGCCCATTCCTCCATAAAGGGGATTTTTTTTTTTTTCAGATTAGTGCTGTACTAAAACTAGTTTAGCCAATAAAGTTAGGGCACTGTCTTAGGACCTATTATGTGCCTGTATGCTACAGCCTCCAGGATGGCTGTGGGGTCCACTAGTTTATATCTAATATTTACCACCTGTGTATGACTACTGTATAAATGTACATGTATGATACAGAAAATTTTATCTATACAGTGCTTACCTCAATGACCCCAGTGGAAATAGACTTTTTTGGGTTATCCTAGGTAATTTACACTGAATAATAATTGTACTTGTGTAACTGTGCCTAAATTAACTTATTTATCTTTACTTACACCCTGTGGCAGGAATTTAGCAAAGGTTTTGCTTTAGATACATAAAATATTGCATATCAAAGTAGAATAAAATAAAACAGGCTTTATTTGGGACTGTTACAAATGGTTATAAAAAATATAAACTGGTAAAAATATTTTTGCAGATATATATATTATAATATATATATTTTATATATATATAATATATATAATATTTTATATATATATATATATTTATATATATATATATTTATTATTTATTTTATTTATTATAAATTTGTGCACATACAGAGGTACAAAAAATACAGATAAGAGCAGTATGCCAAAGCCACTTATACTATGCATAGCATTCGGGCTGGCTTAAAATTTAAAATTAAGATTAATTAAGCAATGATGAAGTCAGTGATAAAAATTAATGTAACAGATTATATAAAGCACAAGTGAGTATTACAAAGACGGGTTTCATATGAAGGATTCTGTTAGGTAGTGTATTAAAAAATAATAAAGTTAGATTGGGTTTTAGTTTAACATTTATGTGATATAATTGTGAGAAACATTTAAAGATATACAATTTATAAGGTTCAGTTATTCAGTATTTATTTGGTTTTGGGTGAGTAAGTGATCTTGAGTAGAGACTTGAATTTAAAAAACAGGTAGTGTTTTCTTTTATATTTACAGGTAATGAATTCCAGATTTTAGGGCCTTTTATGTGCATGAGTTTTTGCATAGTGTGAGATGAACACGAGGAACATCAAAGAGTGATCTGTGCTTGTGTTATGGTCATGTGTTCTGTTGAGGTTGGCAAGGAGATGTTTGAGGGGGGGGTTTTAATATCAGAGTTAAGTGTTCTATGTATGTAATAGGGCAGTAATAAGTATGATGTTTTGTATGGTGAGTAGGTTTAGTGTATTGAATATTGGTGGAGTGTGCTGCCTGTAGTGAGAATTTGTTATCATTCTAACTGCAGCCTTTTGTTGGGTAATTAGTGGTTGAGATGGTTAACTGTTGTTGAGCCCCATGCACAAATTCCTTTAGGTGAGTGGGGGTAAATAAGAGAGTGATATAGGGCCAGGAGGGCTGGAACTGTGGAACATAGTACCGTATCTTCGATAGTATGCCTACGTTTTTGGAAATTTTCTTAGAAATTTTGTTGTTATGTGTATGAAATTTGAGGTCTATTATCAAGGTGGATTCCTAAGAATTTTCCCTCTGTTAGCTTTGTGATAGGGACCCGTTATCATTATGTTAAGAGGGAATCTGTAGCTCTGTTACCAAACTGAATGAAGTAGGTTTTGTCAATGTTTAGTGTAAGTTTGTTAGTCCTCATCCAGGTAGATATTTTCGGGTAATTCGGTATTTACAGTATTGGCTAGTGTGACGGGGGCTGGGGTTTGAGAGAAGACGTATGTAGTGTCATCTGCAATAGTGTGGGTTTGAGTAATTGCGAAGCATTTGGAAAGGTCATTTATGTATAGGAGAAAGAGAAGGGGGCCCAAAGGGGACACTTCCCTGTGGGACACCAACTGTAATTGGTTGCGCAAAAGGGAGTTTGCCCCATTTGCGTACACATATTGGCTTCTGTTGCTGAGGTATGACTTGAGGTAATTGAGGGGTGCCCTCTTATACCATAGTGTGACAATTTACGTGGAGCAAGTCATGGTCAACTGTATCAAAGCTTTACGTTAAGTCAATGAAGACCCCAGTGGGACTTCTTTTTTCTCTATTGCAGTGTATATATGTTCTAGCATGTGTATAATAGCATCTTAGTATTTTTATTAGGCCTGAATCCAAATTGGCAGGGGTTGAGTATGTTCTGGGAGAAAAGGTAGGAGTAGATTCGTTTATGAATTAGTTTTTCAAAGATTTTTAAAGAGGGGGTTTGTAAGTTGGATATTGGCCAAATAGTTATTCAACTCTGTTTGGTCTCCTCCTTTGTGGATCGGGGTGCCCCTTGCTATTTTGAGTACTGTAGGGAAGGTGGAGGATTCAATGGATTTGTTAAAGAGGTTGCAATGATTGGAGATAGCACTTGTGACACTTTTTTATATATAAAGGGTGGTAAGGTACTTAAATCTCTGCCTTGTTTTTTAGTGCATTGATAATAAGGGAGACTTCGTATGGGTTAGTCGGAGCTAGGAACAGTGTGTTCGGGTAGTTGCGGTGAGGTAGTTATTTGGTGGGGTATCTGAGCTTGGGATTTTATGGGCAAGGTTTTGTCCTACAGTGGAGAAGAAATCATTGAGTCTGTTTGCTGTTTCTGGGGTTTGGGAGTTGGGGTTCATCTGATTTTGCTAATTTTATTTCGCTATTTTCGTGATATCTTTTTTGTTCCCAGAATTTCAGATAGTGTTTTCCAGGTCTTTTTTATATCACCTCGTAAGTTGGATAATCTGTTCTCTAATACAATTTTTTTGCCCTTCTTATCAGCTGGTTGGGATTGACGAGTAACTTTTTTGTTTGGTCTCTGGTTATTGACCCATTCTGTACTGTTTTTCATATTGGTGTTTTGTTTTATGGATTGAGAATGCTGGGTGTTAGCCAGGGACTGTTCAGTCTCTTTGCTGTCATCTGTTTAGTTTTTTTAGGGCAGGCTTGTTATAGAGGTATTGGGGTTTCTTTTTAGAAAATTTATTAATACATTCGTCAATATCTGTATGATTTCTAGTCAGTTTTGCCAATCAATGTTTGCTAATGCTGTTGCGAAGTTTTTATGGCTGCCTCATTGGGTGAAGTCTGAAGGTGACTTTAGTAGTGTCTTGGGGTAGTTTACCAAGAGTTGTTATGAGGAAAGTAGGGTAGTGGTCTGTGGTATTATCTGTAATTATGCCTGATTTTAAAGGGGATATGGTGTTGGTCCAGATGTGGTCAAGTAGGGAAAACACTAGTCTCTGTAACTCTTGTAGGTTTTGTTACTGTTGGTAGTAACATACAGTTACTCATTGTGTTTGTGAATTCAGTAACGTGTGGGTCCTGTCTTGCAGGAGATTTTATTGAAGTCACGAGGGGTATAAGTGATCTTTTTTCATGCGTGCATCAGTTATCATACTTCCTAGATTTTGACTAAATTGGCTAATGTTTGACTGTGGAACTCTGTAGATGTTTATCAATGTGAGAGGTTTTTGTAGGTATTTGGATTTGAATTAGCTATTATATATTCCCATGTTCATCCCTTGTGCAAGTTATTAGTGATACATTCTAGTTGGTCTGAGTAGTATTGGCTGTGCCACCCCTTGTTGGTCTGGCCTACATTGTGTATGGCTGTGTAAACCCGGAATGGCATAGACATCTGTACTATCAGCTTTAGCCAGGTTTCAGTTAGTGTAATGATGGACATATTGGCATGTAAGGGAAATTTTGTAATGCTATGAGGTCATCGTAATGCTTGCTTAATGATCTGATATTGTAGTTAAAGATAGTTTTTGTTGTTGTTGGCACTGAGAAGTGCCTTTGATTGTTCTGCAGTGAGTAATTTCAGTAACTGTTTGATTCATTTAAGTCATTAAAAAGAGGTTGGTATCAGGATCAATGCTTGTAATCATAAGATTTGTAGTGAATCTATAGTTAGAATTAAGTATAAAACAAGTAAATAGTCTTAAGCTAAAAAAATAGCACTGAATTATTTAACAAATGTAAAATAATGAGCTAAGGGACTAATACAAATAAAGTGATGATCATATAATAGTGCTTGGGGAATATGATAGTAAGGTAGTACTATAAAGGTAATTTTTTAAAGTTTAATTATAGTTAAAATTATAATAAAAAGGGCTAATATAGGTTGTGAATAATGAGCTTTGGAATATAATGGCAAGATTGTGAGTTATTCTACTTTAGCACCTGAGAATGAATGAATGAATGAATGAATATATATATAAAATATATATTATATATATATATATATTATATTAATATATATATATATATATATATATATATATATATAAAATATATATATATATATATTAATAAAATTATATATATATTATATATATATATATATGTACAGTACACCAATGGTGCATTATGAAATTTAACCTAGGAAAGCCGAGTGAAGTTTAACTATGTGGTGGTATGAACAGACTTTGTACATTAAGTTTATTTAAGTACAGGTACGAAGTAAAATTATTGTAAATATCCAACTCAAGAAAAGTAAGTCAGTGATTAATTTCCACTGGGGTCCTAACCAATACGAATAGGGAATAACATGTCTTATTTCACATGACATGTCACTCCTTATTATACTAAGTTTAAGGCCTACTGATTGCATATCAAAAGCCCTAATGAGAGCAAGTCAAATAATGTGACTTTATTAGGCTATCCGAGGACCTCAGTGGAAACAAGTCAGTCTTACTTTTTTGGGTTATCCTAGGTAATCTACACATATGCTGCTATGTATGATAATCTATGTAACTATCATGTGTACCTGTACCTGAATGAAAACTTATCCTGGGCTAAATCTATATAATGCATATGTTTGTGACCTCGAGGCCATAATAAAAATTTGAATTTAAATGTATTTAAATTTAAATTATTTAAATTTAAATGTATTCACGACGTATTAACATGTATCACATGATGTGAGCTTTAATGCTTTAACGCAGTAGACTGGTAAGCCAGTGAAAGGATTTGGTCCTATGACCGAAAGCTGCAGTAAACTGGTCATAAGACCCACTAACTGCAGTAAGTCCTCTTTCACCTTAATTAAGACCCGCGCCAGGAAACAATTGTCATGTTTCCTAATATGATTATAAAATATGAAGCGCTAAACCTATTCCCGACTAATGAAATAGTTAAAATAGCAGGTACATTACCTGCTGACCTGTCTGCAGCACCTGCCACCAGCTTAAGTCATCTCCACACTACCAAGAACACTTCAGTCCTTTAAGAGTATAAAGTTAACTCAGGGTATATATACATGGAGATATGTACCGTCTGGGTGTATATACAGTGTGACATACAGGAGAGTTTTGTCACTTCTTACCTGAGACGTGAGGAGTGTTATGTGGCAGCAGAGGTCGTGGTCCCTTCACTCTTCACCTCCATCATTGACATTTTTAACCCATTTTGCCCCCCCCCCATCATACCCATACCCATCCACAGTTATTATGCCTTCATTTATTCTTTATTGTTCTAAAATAAATCGCGTAGTTATAAATAAATAGTGGCATCTTGCTCTACCAACTTGCCCAACAACAATATACTATTAATATACTTCATCACACCATTCTACAGACATGAATATATCTTTTGTCTTATATAAATTAGATTCACTTATAATTAATAATCTACTGTACAACTATAATCTACTGTACAACAAATATAATTCTTAGTGTTAAGTATTATTATTATTATTATAATCAAGGGGGAAGCGCTAAACCCGGAGGATTATACAGCGCCGGGGGGGGGGGATGTGGAAGGCATTCAGGCTTAATTCAGGGAACTGGAGCACAGATCCAATTCCCTAAATCAAGAGCCCCTCACCAACATCAAGGAACCTTCCTTGAGGGGTTAGTGTTAAGTAGTCAGTAAGATAATAATGTTAAGTGGGCCCATAATGCCTAGGCATAATAGAGGCTCTTTGCATAGCAACCCATTATTGTAAATACATAATCTCAATGTACTATTTGCAGAGACATCAATAAATAAATAAACAGTCAATTTTATTTTCAAATTGTGTATTACCCTGACAAAATATGGCGACATTTACTTAATATATTTTAGAATGTCCCTGGTTATGCAAAGCATTTCTGGCAGACTAAAACTTGTCGTTGTAAAGTTATGTTTTTGAAATTAAATTATTTGAATAATAGTTTTAATATAAGCACATTATTAAATATAATGATTATTTCAAGTAACAAAACTGTATAGTATTGATTATTTTAGTTAGAATAATTATATGGGGTGGAAATACAGTGCATACATGAGTAGTCTGGTAGGCAACACACAGCTGTATAGCCCTTGTGGCTTAGCGCTTCTTTTTGATTATAATAATAATAATGGTAGGCAACACTCACCTCACACATAGAGTGTCCGTGGTTCGATTCCCGGCACTGGTGGAAACATTGGACGTGTTTCCTTACACCCGCAGTCCCGTTCACCAAGCAGTAAGTAGGTACCTGGGCGTTAGTCGACTGAAATGGGTCGCATCCTGGGGGACAAGACTGAAGGACCACAGTGACACACTGACTTTCTTGGGTTATCCTGGATGGCTAACCCTCTGGGGTTAAAAAGCCGAACAAATCTCATCTTACACTCGTTTACATACAGGTAGCCAAAACGAAACAATGTTCATGCTCTTTATGACCCTTAAGGGTTTAGTCGCCTAATAATAATAATAATAATTAAATCATGATTTATTACAGATACAAATGTCAATCAATTTATGTAGCAGTTCCTTAATACAACTGACCATAATATTTCTACATTAGAATACGACCACAATTTCTTGTTCCCGGAATGAAATTCCGGGCTGTGGCTCGTACGTTGGCTTGCGTGCAGCCAGCAGTAACAACCTGATTGATCAGGCTCTGATCCACCAGGAGGCCTGGTCACAGACCGGGCCGCGGGGGCGTTGACCCCCGGAACTCTCTCCAGGTAAACTCCAGGCTCCAGGTAAATACTAAGAGGCGTCTGCATGCACACCTAACCATCACCCACCCCTGGCAATCATTGCACCGTGCTGTAATAAGGTCTTTAATCTTTAAATAGTTGACTAACACAAGTAACTCTTGTCTGCCAGGTGATTATGAGCAGCAAGTGTAATGAGGCTTGTGTTGGTGGTTCGTACGTTGGATTACGTGCGGCTGGCAGTAACAGCATGGTTGGTCAGGCCTTGGTCAACCATGCTGTTACTGAAAAATATGGTGATACCGACAAGGTGTGCAATAAGACACTTATGTACAGTTCAGGACATTTATTAAATTAATAAATATCCTGAACTGTACATAAGTGTCTTTTTCACGCGTTAAGATAAGATTTTGTTCTGATTTTTAACCCCGAAGGGTTAGCCACCCAGGATAACCCAAGAAAGTCAGTGCGTCATCGAGGACTGTATAACTTATTTCCATTGGGGTCCTCAATCTTGTCTCCCAGGATGCGACCCACACCCGTCGACTAACATCCAGGTACCTATTTGCTGCTAGGTGAACAGGACAACAGGTGTAAGGAAACGTGTCGAAATGTTTCCACCCGCCGGGAATCGAACCCGAGCCCTTCGTGTGTTAGTTAGTTTAATATGTTTATTATGCACCCCATACCCATCCTGTGGGCGGTAGTCAAAAGATTACAGAGGTACATAATTGGTCCAGGGACTGGACTCCAAAGTTTTGATAGCTGAGCAAGTTACAGAGGTAATGAATTCACAATTTACAAAGGTAATGAACTCACAATTTACAAAGGTAATGAACTCCAGGTAGGTCTAGTCACAATCATGACAAGTTACAAAGGTATTTACAGATTTTTTTTTATATTTTATTTAAACTCAGGTACAAAATTATATGGGAACATAATCAATATGTAACAAGATACAGGCAGTAAAACGATAATCTGCAGTGACTACACAAATACCAAAGAAGCACTTATATAATGACATCAGAATTGGCTGCTGCACTCCAATCAAACACTACTTTTATGTACCGTGCTTCACGTGAAAAGATGGTCTTATAATAAAAACGATAGTCCTACTTAGTAATGCTGACACTCCCCCCCTTGAAAAACATACCACTTTCACCTGAGTATACTCATTGACATCTCTTACACATTTATTAGAGCATTAAGGATATCATTGACAACATGTATAAACACAATCCGTGTGTGAAGCGGGAGCTTTAGCCACCAGGCCACCGGGCCCTTAACACTCCAGGGAAGCAAACTCTGTTTCACTTCACTTGTAAACTGAGTTTGGTTGTGAGAGTTGGGTGTCTGTATTTAGTTGGTAGATGGAGAATCCACCCCACACGGGTTTAGCGCTTCACATAATCATAATAAAAATATAATAATCTACCGCTGAAGTCCCAATATGGCTTAGCGTTTAGCGAGCAGTTAATCGGACTAAGGGTCGACAATCTAAATGATTTTTAATTATGAATGAGACTCAGAATCTGGTTAATTATAAAAATCTGATATAATCATAAGGTCACAGGACTTTGAAAAAGCAATAAATGACATGCTCGTGCACTTTGCCCCAGACCAAGGCTCGTGAAACTCCGTGTTCATCAACAACTGCAAGAAACCACTTTGACGTGCCTTAAATACTCTAGTCACTAAAATCAAAAGATATAGCCACACTCCACAAAGGTGGCAGTAAAACAGTTGCAAAGAAATACAGACCGATAGCACTAACGTCCCACATAAACATCTTCACAAGGGTTCTGAGAAGCAAGATCGCCAACCACTTGGATAACCCTCAATTGCACAACCCAGGGCAGCATGGGTTTAGAGCAAGTCGCTCCTGCCTCTCACAGCTACTGGATCATTATGACATGGTACTGGATGCAATGGAGGACAATCAAAATGCATATGTAGTATACACAGAGTTTGCGAAAGATTTCGACAAGTGCAATCACGGTGTATTAGCACACAAAATGCGTGATAAAGAAATAGCTGGAAAAGTTGGTAGATGGATCTATAACTTCCTGACAAATAGAACACAAAGAGTAATAGTAAACAGAGTAAAGTCAGAGGCAGCTATAGTGAAAAGCTCTGTTCCACAAGGTGCAGTATTCGCCCCCATCCTGTTCTTCATCCTCATATCTGAAATAGACAGAGATGTTAGCCACAACACCGTGTACTCCTTTGCTGACGATACCAGAATTGCATGATAGTGTCATCCATCGACGTCACTGCAAATCTCCAAGCGGACATTAACCAAGTCTTTAAATGGGCCTCAGAAAACAATATGTAGTTCAATGAAAACAAATTTCAATTAATCCATTATGGAAAACTCGAGGAAATACAAAACTGGATCGGGGTATAAAACAAATTCTAACCACATAATTGAGCGAAAAACTAATGTGAAGGACCTGGGAGTGATAATGTCAAAAGGTCTCACTTTCAAAGATCACAACCACATGTGCTAGGAAAATGATAGGATGGATATTGAGAACCTTCAAAACAAGGGATGGCAAGTCAATCACTTGTTCTCTCAAGTCTGGAGTTTTGCTGCACATTAACGGCTGCTTTCAAGGCAGCTCTACCTGGAGCTTCATTACCTTTGTAAATTCTCATGATTAATGTGTTTGATTCATTACCTTTGCAATTATTCATGAGTGTGACCAGCTCTACCTGGAGCTCATTACCTTTGTAACTTGGTCATGATTATGACCAGATCTAGTTCATTACCTTTGTAACTTGCTCAGCTATCAAAACTTTGGAGTCCAGTCCCTGGACCAATTATGTACCTCTGTAATCTTTTGACTACCGCCCACAGGATGGGTATGGGGTGCATAATAAACATTAAACTAACTAACTTTCAAGGCAGGCGAAATTGCAGACCTTGAGAATATACAAAGAACTTTCACTGCACATATAAGTACAATAAAGCACCTAAATTACTGGGAACAGTTGAAGTTTCTTGACCTGTACTCATTGGAAAGCAGGCGAGAAAGGTACATGATAATATACATTTCGAAAATCTGAGAGGGACTAGTCTCAAATCTACACACGGAAATCACTCCCTATGAAAGCAAAAGACTTGGCATGTGGTGTAACATCCCCCCTTCAACGAAAAGCAGCGCTATGAGTACGCTAAGAGAAAATACAATAAGTGTCAGGGGTCCAAGACCATTCAACTGCCTCCCAGCATCCATAAGTGGTAATACCAATAGACCCCTGGCCGTCTTCAAGAGGGAGCTGGACAGGCACCTAAAGTCAGTACCTGACCAGTCGGGCTGTGGTTCGTACGTCGGTTTACGTGAGGCTAGCAATAACAGCATGGTGGATCAAGTGTTCCGAGGGGCGTTGACCCTCAGTACACCTTCTAAGGATCCACTTAATATTTAACGTAAAGTGATAATGTTGTTTTGGATTATCAGTAATGTACCGATAATTTCCATCGGATATTAATATACTAATATGTATAGTAAAATTGATTTAGAATCTTGATTAATTAATATTAGTAATTTCTGATTACATGTTGT